TTTTAACCTGACTTCATGTTAGTGGCAGAATAAGTGAACACAAACCTGATTATACAGGAGCAACTTTTAAGGAATACTATTATACAACAGTAAATGTTCAAAGAAAAACACCAGGAACTAAAGTAAACATCAGTTGGAGACTTTTCAACATAAATTTCTAAGGAGAATCTTGCGAACTATTAGCCAAACAAGATCACAAATGGAGAACTGAGGAGAAGAGCAAACTGTTTGTTTTCAAAGGACGAACCTTGTAAGGGCTTGGACGTGTTTGCAGAATACCCCGTGACACGCTGACAATGACATCGACGGCAGATGGAAAAGAGGAGACGTGGGAGACAAGAAACGTCGAGAAGGACTGTAAAAAGAGAAAAGAAGGAATTCAGACTGACAAGGGATACCATATGCAGTAAAGCAGCAGACCAGCAGCAGTAGAAATCACTTGTGAAGCCTTATGTGTCAGTCGCGATATGAAGAGGATAAAGATATCATAGAATAGGCGAAGTCCTAATAATTCACGTCAAAATTAGTGTCTCTACCTTTCTCAATGTTAGCTATCCATGCACCGGACTTCTTACACTATTTTTTAATGGTTAGATATTTCTTTTTTTTTTTAGGTTTAGTTTCCATTTATCCTTCACTAGCAAGTCCTGTCAGCTAGCGTTGAACTGTGTATGTACAATGTAGCTACAAGTTGAAGACCACAGAATTATAATTTTCTTTGTCCATTTTGTTCACTGCAATTTTAAAAAAAGTGTTTTGTTTGTTTTTTAAAGTTAGTTGCGTATCCTTTGCAGGACGTTGCAGAGCTAAACCCAGCGTCTTGTTTGGCTGTCTTCGTTTATCTAGGCAATGGTTACATTCAGTAGTTTGCAATTGCTTCTAATCGGTCAGCTCTAGGTACCATTGTCGAAACCAACGCAAGACGAACCGTCCGCAGCTGGGATCGAACCCGGCACCACGGCATTACGATGCGCTTTCGCAACGCCTAATCCATAGACGCCGACTATTTACTATTCACTTCTATATTAAGGCCAGTTAACTGTAATCACCGTGGTCATCATTCAGCTCTAAAATAACAGTTAATGTAATACCCCAAAATAACGTGGCCATTTCTTTGCTAAGTGCAGTGTTGCCACTTTGGATCTTTTATATCCAAATTTAGATCTTTTTCATTGCATTCAGATACTGTTTTTGACGTTTAGATCCTAAATATTTTTCTAGATACTTTTCATATGGAGTTAGATATTTTATAGATTTTTTTTTCTTTCATTGTCAATTTAATAATTACTGTGTAAAATATTCACTACAATAATTTTGTTTTGGTCTGGCACGTACATTGTGACAACTGCCATTACTTGAACTTTGAACTCTCACTGGGGTCAACGCACAAATATCTGGCAGCCCCGGTAATGATTAATAAAAACGCGCGTAAATCATACTAACTTTGTACTAATTTCTTACGTCCTTCTTAGAACGTAATTTTTTGTTATTTGAAGCCCCACTCTGGCTTTTGCCAGGGGTCGCAATATAGGCAGGCCATCAATATGGCCAATTGTCTGAACGCAGTTTCTGGGACCTCTCCACGGTGATCCTCATCCGCATGGTGGCACTTTGTGTCATCGGGTGTTTATCGCTTGTGTGATGTCCTGGTGGGGTAGAAAGTCAGTAAGTCATACTAACTTTGTTTCAACCGAATCCTCACTGTGCTGACTTTGCGTTTCTTTTTCATGTGATTTAAAAAAAAAAAATAATTGCTCACCTTCTTATGTGGCTTTCACTTTGAAAAAATCTTTCAACATGCCAAAAGTAAAGTATGAGCACAAAATTTGGAAAGAATGGTTGCATGATGACAAAATTAAAAACTGGGGATATGACCAAAGCTTGTTATAAGTACTGCAAGTGTGAAATTAAAGCGAAAATACAAAACTCAAAGAGTCATGACTATTTCAATTTGAAAAGTGTGATGTAGAAAGTATAGTTTAGGAACTGAAGGACCTTTTATTCAGCAAACAGTTAGGCTTGAAGAATTTGGCTGTAATTGGTACTGATAATGCCTCAGCGATTGAAGTGAGACAATTTAAAGATGCCTCATCAAATAGTCCATCCTGTAAGCTCTTTAAAGTGCCATGTCTGCCATGATACTACCCCACTCAAATGCTGACGTAGAAAGAGTTTTCAGTGCTAGGAATTATATCAAATCTAAAGTAAAAAACAGGGTGAAATTTAACCTCCTAAATGCTATCGTGCCATTAAAATTCGGTCTGATGAGACTAAATAAGCCTACTGTTCCACTTATAAAGAAATTTGAACAGCTAAAGCATACCAGAGTCATTTTGGATCTGAAGCTTCAACTTCATTATCCAAGCTAAATTTATCCTGTGGATCTTGTGAGGCAGACATCAATGAAGGCGAGGACATGATTATGTAGGGTAAGTCATAACAAAAGCTATATAATTTTTGACTTTTTAAATTTGGATGTTTTTTCTATATCTTTTCCACGCAGATTTAGATCTTTTTAGATATTTTATGACACCGTTTTGGATATTTTGTGTCAAAGAAAAGTGGCAACACTGGCTAAGTGGTCTTAAACTTTTGGCCACAATTTTATGTGTTAAAATTTAACATCGGTATCATAATACCGTAAGGACAACAAAAACAATAATTCATAACATAAAGCATCAAATTTGCGTTAATATGTGCATAATTTTATCACAGATAGCCCAAGTTATTGTCAAACTGACTAACTTTCATAAATGCATTTATAGAAATGCTTGGTAAACATTTCATATTACAGTGTACATTACAACTTTTATTAACATTTTTTCCCAAGGGAAATAGTCAAACTTTCACAGCTGTATTCGTACTATTACTGGTACCAATACTATTACTGGTACCATTACCATTAGTGGTACCATTATCATTACTGGTACCAATATCATTACTGGTGTCTGTATGAGGGCTTTTCTGTATGAGGAAAATAACATAAACACTGATATACCATTTTTCACCGGATATATGGTCCTAATTCCATATTTTTGTAGACTAATCTGCACGCGATGGTGTGATGCGACTATCATCATGCCGACCACGTTTTCTTCCCAGAATATTTTCTCAGACCCACTTTAAGGCTGGGTCAGGCATGTCAGTCTTTCCAAGCTGTAACCAGGAGACTGGCAAAATAAAGACCTCGTGCCTAACACTTACTGTTTCGTTCATATGTTTAGATCCATTCCCTCTCCCAGAATCCCGTTGTTTCGGTCTGTGAGCATAGCATTTACATCCATTCCCTCACCCACAATCCCGTTGTTTCTGTATGTGAGCAAACAGTTTACATCCATTCCCTCACCCACAATCCCGTTGTTTCTGTCTGTGAGCATACAGTTTACATCCATTCCCTCACCTAAATCCCGTTGTTTCTGTCTGTGAGCATACAGTTTACATCCATTCCCTCACCCACAATCCCGTTGTTTCTGTCTGTGAGCATACAGTTTACATCCATTCCCTCACCTAAATCCCGTTGTTTCTATCTGTGAGCAAACAGTTTACATCCATTCCCACACCCACAATACCGTTGTTTCTGTATGTGAGCATACAGTTGCAGTTTGTCCCATTTAAGCTTACACTTTGCTGGATTAACACCTTAAGGTTGAGAATCCCACATGTACAGATACGTTAAACCCCATTTAGTGATACATTGGTGCTCCTGACGGTTATGTGGTAACGTGGTCTGGACCAGTCAGGGATTGGAACATACACTATACATAGAAACATCTAAACGTGACGAATTATACCCGCTTAAAATTGTAACAATACAAATGTATTTCCAGCACATAAATAAAATTGCTGTAAAAAAACGGAGTGAGGGTCTTTTAAGCCTGAGAATTGGGATTGAGGTCCTCAAGACTAGTGGAGCTGGAGAGATTAGGATCCTTTCCCATGCCGATGGTGCCAACCAGGTCTATCGAATAAAAGATTAAGTTCTAACCATTCTGTCGATCGATCCCCTCTGAAAGTCTATATAAATATCAACTGATGATAATTAATAAAGCTTACAGTTTAAGACTGAAGTCCAGAAGATCGACTTCATTGCACAGGATTTCATCACAAAATGTTCCAGTCACTCTGTGCAGAACGGCTAACCACCTACCTAGAGCGTCGCACAAAGCACGTAAACAGCTCTGGCGACGATCCTCAGGAATCTCTGTAAAATTGTACTCCGAACCGAAAGACGCAGCAGTGAAACAAGCCCATTACCTTCAGAACGCGAGGCAAACGGCTTGCCCTCTTCGCCACGGAGACGCCTGACGATTAAACTGATGATGATGATGATTAATAAAACAAACAATGTACACGTGAAAGCAATGAGTGGTGATATATTTTAAAAACACTTTCTTGACTTAGGACCTTTACCACTTAAACCATCCGCACTCAACTACCACCACCAGCTACATAGGTAAGTCAAAAAAGCTTCCGGAACTGGTCATTATACATTATTTGCAATAATTTTATATGCATAGGTATAATTTGTGTTTTATGTACAATTTTTATAACCCCTTCGAATGCAAATAGTGTTGACAAATATAAATACGACTTACGAAACCAATGTTTACGTACCACGATAGGTGTAACGAGAAAAGATCGCCTTAGGAACGATGGTGTCTGGAGGAGATTCGGCACTGAACCAATACTGAATTTTATAAGTATACAACAAATCAAATTGTTCGGCCATGTAACAAGATTTGCATCATATAGGGCAACATAGAGAGCAAAGTTATTTAGATACAGCGGAGACAGGTCCAGAGGTCGACCACTCATAGCATGGACCGCATAAATATCAGAGGCACTGAAAAGTACTTTATACGAAGCGAACAGAAGGGCCTGTTTCAGAGATCTCTTCCTGTACTGACGCCGCGAGGCATTTCAGGAGTAGAGAAAAGAAGATGAAAAAGTCGGAGGGAAACACCGGACAAAACACCGTAGTAAGTCAATAAGGCCCAGTACTAGTAAATATCATCATAAGATGATATCTTGTTCGACCCTTTTCCTTGATGCTTACTGTTGTTGAAACTGTTGCGTGCGTTGGTCTTAGATTCTTGAACAAGGTATGAAGCATTGACATCAATCGTGGCAGGGAGAGTAACGCTGTTGTATAACTCACTATCTTTGTGTTCTTTTGTCTCATCGTACTGAGAATCATAATCTGTTCCGTCCGCGTTACTGATGATGCCATTAACAGAAGCAGCACCGTAATTAGTTCCATTGTTTATAATTGTCTTGCTGTCACTTGCCCACGACTGCAAATTTCCAGAAGCAAATATCCCATAAAATATGACACCTGCCAAATGGATACAGCCGGCGATGATAAACAGACGTTGCCAGTCGATCAAGCTCTGTGAAAAAATATTACAGAATGTTCAATAATGCTTAGAGAAAAATGATCACACATTTCCGTTTCATTTCCTAACATTTTTTAATTACGTTTTGCAAAATCAAGATACAATTTTTAGTCTTACTATTGTTAGTCACACTCTGTAATATTTAAATGTTCAATCATACTGTGCTGCAACAGTAAAATAAAATATGATATATAATAAATAGAGATGTGTACAAAGCTACTAAAAATGTTAAATCAAGCACTGGAAAACAAAATACGATCAAATATGCCACAGACTATGTAACAAATTTGTTAGGATATTTAATCAAGCTCCAAAAAACGTGCGATAAATTACATTTCATTTGGTCAAAAAATGATGAAAAGTTCAGTCTAGCTCTCTTAACGAAATGATAAAATAAATGAATATTAAGTCAAGCTTTGTAAAAGTGATAACATATGGTACATACAAAGCGCAGTTTGTGAAAAGAAAACATGATTACCAATTTAGAAGCCTAAGTCTAAAGAATCTCAGCACAACTACAAATTTTTCCCGGGCAGCGCCATAAGGCTACTAGGTGTCCAGTCTTACTACCCAGAGACCAGAGGAAATTACTAGAAGTCTACGTTAACAAATCCCAGCCTTCACCAGGGTGTGAACCCGGGACCTCCAGCACTCGAGGCAGATGACATATCCCGAGACCACTCAACCCCCTTCCCTTCGCCCCCACCCCACCCCCGTTGTTTCATCTTAACTTCTGTCAACATAGTCCGAAAATAATATGAATGTTCCTACGGCTGTCGCTTGGGGAGACCTGACTAACAATCGGCTCTTTCATTAACTCTGACGTCTGCCTAAAAGTGCTAGTTCTAAACAGGACACTGACTACTTACATGTGAATGTCCAGTCATTACCGAGGCCAAAGTTGTGCTGATGACTGAACCAAGCATTCCAGTTCGAGATATCCCCGTCAGAGGCCCTGCAAACTGTGGTGCCAAGTCTAAAGGGTTCGTCTGATAACCTGCAATCAATGAATAGAAAATGAATGTGTGTATATAAATGTATAGTTATATATGTATGTGTGTGTATTTGGGGTGTGTTTGTGCGTGTAGACTGGTAGGTAGACAGATTACTAGGTTGGCTGGTTAGTTAGTTGCGTATCCTTTATAAAGGAAGTTGTAAGACAAACCCCAGCTATTTTTTGGCTGTTCGTGGTTTTACCAGATAACTTAACCTTCAGTAGTTTGCTATTTTAGGTAGGTAAGTGGGCGGATAAGTTGCTTGGCAGATCTTGTGTGAAGGGTTACATATTAGTTACAATAAATGTAAATACAAGTTTAAATATTGCTAAAGATATTCCCAAAAACTGCAAAAAATCTAAATATTTTCTGTGGAGGTTATTGATAACAAAAACAACATA